CCAGCCGGAAGAAGCCTCTGTATCTACCAATTTGTTTCCCGTAAGATTTATAATGCGATGAAGTATGAGGAGTGCAGGGAGAGCTCTTAGGACAAGAAAGAGAAGGAATGATCGCTTGCGCTCTTTGGCTCGTTTGTTACGTACTGCATTTCACCGGATATATTGATAGTTATCAGAAGAGTATTGAAGCGTTGATGGGAACGGGACTGTCGATGGTTAAGACAAATCTCACTGAATCTTTCGATTAAACGTGAATGTGTCCAAAGCCTGAAGCGGGCTTTAGAAACCACGAAAGATGAGAGTTTTAAGTGATGAAAAATTTACCATCAAAGCATTAGAGATACCTGGATGAAAGTTTTAAACCTTTGCTTACCACTAAAAGAGTGTTAGCGATACCTTCTTACCTGCATTCTTTACAAAACCAGCTTTAGCCCCGCCAACATCGGCCGAGATGGAAGTCCAACCCCGACGATGGTGTCAACCCCGAGATTGGTAGTCAACCCCCGATGATGGTAGTCAACCCCGAAGACGGTAGTCAACCCCGGAGATTGGTAGTCAACCCCAGATGGTATCAACCCCGAGATGGTATCAACCCGAGAATGCGTAGTCCAAACCCCCGAGAGGAGTCAACCCCGAGATGGTAGTCAACCCCGAGAGGGTACGTCAACCGAGAGGGAGTCAACCCGAGATGGTAGTCAACCCGAGATGGTAGTCACCCCGAAGATGGTAAGTCAACCCCGAGATGTAGTCAACCCCCAGAGGGGTAGTCAAACCCCGGAGAGGGTAGTCAACCCCGAGATGGAGTCAACCCCGAGAATCGTAGTCACCCCGAGATGGTAGTCGAAAAACGCCCGAGATGAGTAGTCAACCCCCGAGATGGTAGTCAACCCCCGAGATGGTAGTCAAACCCGAGGATGTAGTCCAACCCCGAGAGGGTAGTCAACCCGAGAGGGTAGTCAACCCCGAAGATGTAGTCAACCCGCAGATGTATCAACCCCGGACTGAGTTAGTCAACCCCAGGAGTATGTAGTCAACCCCCGAGATGGTAGTCAACCCCGAGATGGTAGTCAACCCGAGATAGATTTATTAGAACTGCAATTGGGTATGACCCGGTGCAGGTTAATAGCAATAATTGCAAAAAATACAACCACTTACCATAATAATAAAATAACAATAATAATAATAACAATAATATACAAATAATAATAATAATAATAAAATAATAATAATATAATAATAATATAATAATAATAATAATAATAATAATTAATAATATAATAATAATAATTAATAATAATATAATATATAATAATAATAATAATAATTACCGTTACAATACATACAAGACGAAAAGCAGCATTGTAAAAGAGGCAGTTATCCACGTTCCACCACATCTTCACTTCGACTTTCACTTCCCACTCGACTACACTACACTACATTTTTTTTTTGTGCTTTGGATACCTTTTGATTTACAACTGACCAGCACTTCGACAGCACTTCACCGCCCACTTACACAGGCACCATACTTATTAAGATTTATTTTCTATGATGAGACTGCTGGGGATGAGAACCTCACCTAAACGGATAGTTCTGGTTCCTCATAATTTCGTCGCCCGCTGCGACACGTTATTGTTTTGCTTAGATCCATTAATTCCCATGTCATTTTTTTCAGCCATCACGTAAACTGCTTCTAAATTCCGTGCCTGTAATATGTCGTTTCTCCGGCGCGTATCTTTTGTATGTTTGCGGTATATAAACAATCGTCCTCAAATAAAGCGTACCTATTGATTGTTATGTTCAGCATGGATGAATCGTTCACATACGGCTAAGAAGAAGTATGGCCCTAACACACTTCCGTGGGAACCCCTGAACGTAACATTCCCCGTAGTCGAAAGCTGATTGCCAATTCGAACTTTTTTGTTGCTTGTCCCGAGAAATTCGCTTATCCACCTCACAACTCTAGCATCACTCCTGAGGTTAATTACTTTGTCCTAATAAGTAAATTATGTGGTACCACGTCGAATGCTTTCGCGAAGTCTATTACTACTGCATCCACCTGATGGTAGTCAACCCGAGAGGGTAGTCAACCCGAGAGGGTAGTCAACCCGAGAGGGTAGTCAACACGAGAGGGTAGTCAACCCGAGAGGGTAGTCAACCCGAGAGGGTAGTCAACCCGAGAGGGTAGTCAACCCGAGATGGTAGTCAACCCGAGAGGGTAGTCAATGCGAGTGGAGACCCTAGAATTGCGCCCATCTCATACTCACCATCTGTAAACGATGAAAGCGACGCCGGGCGCGTACCCGAAGCGGAGCAGCTGCCGCCAGTCTAAGAGCGCCCACGCCATCAGCCCCAGCGCCACCTCGCCCAGGGCGAAGGACAGGCACTGCGCCACGCCCACGACCACCCGGCCGCGCGTGCAAGTCAGCTCCATGCCTGCCCCCACCACGTGAAGCAGACTTTCAAATCGCTTTGTGGAGAATGGGAGGTCGTTTATTAAAGCTGTAGGGTTTTCATTTACTTTATTAGGGCTTGGAGTAATAATTATTCATGAACCGAAGGGGCTGTCCATAAATTACGTAACGCAAATTTGGAGTATACTGAATACCCCCCTCTTCCTCTGTAACGCGCGAATGAACCCCCCTAAATAATTAAGTAATGCTTTTGACAACGCCTCCCTTGTAAATGCAAGTAGTGAAAATATATTATAGCACAATAAAAATTAGTTGAATTCGTTTTATTTATCTTGTAGATTACAATTAATGATAATTGAAGTCGGAATTAGTTGGCTGCACCTAACTGCAGACTGCACCTAACAATAAGATTGAGGGCAGGAAGTGAGTGAAGGAAGGGCGCATAGGTAAGAAAACTTTTCATCACAAGCCGAGCACACGCAGTCGTGGCTGACGCATGAGCGAGAGTCTATTGCGCCAATTTAAACTGATTTTAGAATATACTATACATCAGTTTGGAATATTTTCTTCATAATCTTGCAGATTAAATAAAAAGTGGATACAAAATGTTTCCATTTATTTTTTAATTAACAATTTAGTCTATTATATTTAATTTATTTGTTGTCGAAACAAATTAATTAGTGAATATTTAAATGTTTTGGTGTAAGAATAAAAGAAGGAATTTTTTCAGCAAATGTTGAAAAATATAAAAAAGTAATTATCAATGTTACGTAACAATAAACAAATATCCCTTACCTTTATGTAACGCAGCGCAACGGTGACTCAAACTCCCTCCCTCTCTTAAGAGTTACGTAATTTATGGAGGACCCCCTAGTCCTCTAAGATAGACTTAAAGGACAAGGTCGTAAAAATAAGTTCTTGGTGTAGCTATAGCGAAGCCTCGCCAGAATCCTTAAAGACTCTTAGATGACACGTGACATACAAATATTTTGTAATGCGAAAATTATTAAGAAGAAGTACTATGTTTTCATAATTTCGAACAATTCGTTCATCGTCGTTTCTTGACGCCCGCATTGTCGTGGCATTATTTATGAACAATTTATGAAACGTGATACTCATGTAGTGATGATGATGAAGTTATTCACAAATAGTGTATGTCCCGTACAACATTTTTTTCTAAAGAAAGATATTTTTATTCCTTGCGATTTGATTTAAAAAGCAGAAGAGGCAAATTCCCTTTCAATGCAGACCAAATCGAAAAATATTTACGACACGGAGTACAAATATTTTTGGGGTTGGCATAGACAGATAAATATACGTGGAATTCTCGAAAATGTAATGTAAAGGTGCAATAACTAAACTAAAATCCGCTACATAAACTACAAACTCAAAACGATATTAAAAATCACAAAAAGTATATTTCTTCTTAACATTTGTAGAAATAAAACATTTTTGCTGTGTTAAAAAACTCGTAAAAATACCGATTAAATTATCCTTAATATTCTATTATCTTATTATACGACATTATCCCTAATTCTCCTCGTCTCGCTAGATTGGCGCAGTAAAAAAGCTTTGTCAGGAGGAGGAATCGAATTGAACGATACGCACAGAGGATGAAGGAGGAGGTGAAGATGCCGACGCCCAGCACGGGCTCCACGAACTCCAGCAGCACGTAGGCGAAGTAGGTGGGCGCGAAGGAGCGCGCGATGCCCAGCAGCGCACTCAGGCAGCACGACCCCGCCAGCACCGTCCGCCGCCCGACCCTGCGCGCACCCCCCCGCACACG